AGGATGAATTGCGTTAAGTGTAAATGCTTATTAGTATGGCTTGTACCTTTGAAAAAAACAATGAGTCTTGTCTCAAGGACAAAGGAAGCAGAGTTTTCTGCTAATTCCTAAAATGGTTAAACTGCTAGTATTATGTAAAAAGTATGTGGAAGTACACTATTACTACACTGAAAATTTTCTGTTTGTGTATTCTACACGTTATAGAGAAAGAGCATAGTTGTTTCTCAACCAGAGATTTCGGCACTGAGCTGAAGCTTAGTAGGATTGCTTTTGCTCCACAGTTTCTTTTAGGAGCTGAGGGATATGATACATACTGTCAACAGAAGTGGTACTCCTGAAGTACTGAATGCAAAATTGTTTTCAAAACACGGTCTATGTGCAAGTCTAGAGTCACCATGTTTTCTTCCTCATTTTCCATGCCTGGGAGTTAAAATTAGGCATTAACAAGAAGGCCTGGTGCCTCAGGAGAATAGTGTTTAGGAACTGAAAGCTTTGTGTTAAAGGGGATAAAGGAAAAGGAAAGTGTATTAGTGCAGACCCTTTCGTTATTTAGTTTGTCTGTTCATTTGTGTACGTGTGGGATTTTTTATTAGTTTTAGCAAGTCACTTGGAATAGCCACAGTCTGCAGTTCCTTACAGATTAGAAATAAAGTTGTTTTAGCAAATAAAAACATCTATTTTATCCTATTGCTGAAGCACCTTCAGTCCAATTGAAACTTTAAGCAGTGGACTCCATCAGCACAGGTCCTGAGAAATGTGATAACAAAGTTGAAAAGATGATCTGAAGGGTAGTTCATAAGCTGCTTACAGTTGCTCTTTTGAATTTTAAGCATCTGTTTCAATAAACAAAGGAAGTAGTTTGTGTTACTGGTGAAACTGGAGGTCAGTTGAGACTGGCTTTAGCGTAGTGTGCTATTGCCTACTTTGAAATATTTGTCTGAAGTGCTTGTTTAGTGCCAAAGGTAGTACTATAGCAGACGAAAACGCTGAACACTTACCTTTATAAAAATGACCCTAATAAGCTCTTTAGCTCCCTGCTTTAACTCCTTGCAAAAGAAAAAAAAGTTTACTTGCAGAGCCTTCAGTAGAAGCAGTGTACATAAATGAAAATTTAAGCCCTCAGCAGTTTGAGTGGTCTGTTGTCTTACTGGAGAAGCCAGAAGCAATTGGCTATCAAAGCATAAATACATGTCTGCAAGAAGAGACCCTGCATTTCCATGTATGTGGAATGTGGAGCACTGTTGTTGGTGTCTTTGAATAGGGCTTCAAAGTCCCTGGTGACTCGTTTTTAGTGTCTATATTCTGATGAGGTATAAACGATCAACCTTTTAATCTTTGTCAGCACTGCTGTGCTATTAATATTTTTCAGATGTTAGAAACAATGCATGATTTTAGCAGTGCTCCAAGCTGCACTCAGCATTCATTTGGGAGAGCTTCTTTTCTGATCTCCCCAGAAATTACTGTGATTCCCTCTGGCATTTTGTTGCAGAAGAGAATTTTATTTACAAAGTAAAATACAAGGCACCTTCTATGCATTCAGTTTTTTAACAATATATGTGTCCTGGCAGTTGCATTTATAAAACAACAGTAAATGAGAATGGGGAATTTGGATCGTGTTCTTTCACATAAAAGACATAAATGGTGTGACTGCTTTTAGGGGTAGGATCTACCACTGTCAAGACAGATCTGCTGCTGGATGATACAGCTGATAAATTCTTTTGCTGCAGATTTTGTAGATCTGGACTATGTATAAAATAAAATGGTATATCACATAACAAAGGGGCTATATTTAAAGGATGTCTGAAAACTATGGGGAAAATTGTAAGCAAAAGAAAAAAAGAGTAGTAGTTTCTAATTCCTTACTGGGCCTGGCAAGAGCAGTATTCTGTCATCTGCTTGTAATATCTGCTATTCTAAACGTCAGTGGCTTTGTTTTAAGGATACTACATGAAAGAGGACTTCTTTTAAGTGAGCCTTTAGACTTCATTATGAGTGTGCTGTATGGTATGTGAGCTGTACTTCTACAAAAAATTGTTTCATAGGCAAACTGCTGAAACCATAACTGGCAGTAGTTGATTTTGAGGTGCTTTCTAAAAAAAAAAATAATTAAGTATTATTCCATGTTATCTGAGGTGCAGGTCAAGTGATTTTATTAATGATGTTGTTATTATTATCAGATATTTTTAAATATCAAGCTGGGCAACTTTAAAAAAGGACTGATCAGACTCAGGACTTTCAAATTGCTCAACTATTCAGACTTCTTTCCTATAGCATGCACTTTTTGTCTTTAAACAGAAGTAACTTGATTCTTTACTTTGGTTCTTCACTAAAATTTTAATTTATTTTCCAAATATGAGTAGTTTGATACTGTGTCCTTTAAGGTAGCTGCATGGTGCAGTGCTGTATATATGAAGGCAGAATTCATTGTCAAAAAGCTGAAAGTCTAATGAATTAAAGAGTTTCGATATTAGTAATCTGGATAATGGGGAGAATGAGAACTTCAGCTTTATTCAATGCATTTTGTGGTTTTCTACATAACTTTGCAGATGTTTTGTGAAAATAGGAAGGCTCTGCAGTGTAGATCGCCCCTAATGCAATAGCAATTGTGAGATGGCGGGGCTCCTGATTGGTTACATTTAGACAACAATTAACCAGTGCTTAAATATATTTATTATGTCATTATTTAAAATCAAGTAACACTTTTATGGTAATTCCATTCCTGTTTTACAAAAGCATGTCGTAAATAATTCTGGTATATTGATGTAATATTGCATGTTAGTGCTATTTTATGCAACAAATGACGATAGTAATGTAGTCTTCCTCAGTTCAGCAATTAGTGTGCTTGATGTTTTGATCTTAAGTAAGTTACTTTTTTCATGTGTTAGAGAATTTAAGGTAAGTGGAGAGCATTTTGTCTGCAAGAAGTTGAGTTAGTCTTTATTTGGTTGATTTGGGGGGTGTTTTTTGTTCTTTTTTTGAATTTTTCCCTTCCTGCAGTTTGAAGATTCTTCTTTGCTTTGTTAATTTCATCTCTGTAGCTAGTCTCTTTTTCTGCAGGCTCTCTCCTTCTCTAGACTGACTTAGCTTTTTTCAGTGTTTTCTCATGGTTTCATGTTTTTTAGATCTGTGATGATGATATTGCTGCTCATCTGTCTTCAGTGTGAAGCTCTATGTCTTTCTAAAAGTACGGTGCCCCAAAATTGATAGGTATTTTAAAAATGTAATAGTGCAAAAATAGAGCAAAACACTTGCCTCATGTTTTTTTCAGGTATTTCTTCTGTTTTACTTCTCAGACTGTTGCTTGCTCTGACAAGACCTTATCTTTTGCAACCACTTGGCATGTTGGATTTGTGTTCATTGACTGATGGAGATGCATTTTTGCTGCTACCTGTCCACTTGGTTTCAATTCTAAATTCGTGTTGCCTGTTGGGATTTTTTTTTCTTGCTGGAGAGTAGGATGCTTTGATATTTGTACTTATAGGACAGAATTCTGTCTTTGTAGATCACTTGTGGAATTGTTAAAGAAATCTTATCTTTTTTTTAATTGTAGTTGCATACCCTTCTCCTTCTCCAACTGCCTGATAAAGTAGTAAGAACGTGGTCTGTTCTTCTTTATCGTAGTTGTTAGTAAGAAGACTCAGTCCCACCGGTGTTCTTGTGAAAGCGTAATTGTGTATGTTCCCATTATGACAGCATAAATTTTAGTGAGTTTGACATTTATTTAAATAAATTTATTTAAATTTATTTAAATTTCACCAGCTGTGGTAAGTTCATGTGATATGTAAAAATACAAACCAAATGAAACTTATTACAAATTTAGCTTGTGATCCAGAACAGGGTCAATGACACTATTGTAAAGACACATCAGATGGGCTTAGGATGAGGAATTCCTTAGTTCTTATTCTTTGTTGCAATGACTGTATTACAGTGGCGTGATACACAAGAATGTTTCATTAATGTATACTGTCAGCACTGGGGATTAGTCTGGTATATTTTTTTTTCCTTCCAATTTTTTTGCTTTACACAGTGCTTTGTCTTCTTAAAACCATTCTCCCCTTGATAAATAAGCAATATTTGGAAGGGGAAAAAAGGTTAGTGTAAGGTTAATGTTCAGCTTCTACAGGAGATATGTGTTAGTTTAAGTAGTATTTATAGATTGATTCAACATCAACAAAAAGCCGTATTAGAAACAAAACCCATCTAGCTAATTAACTGATTGAAGAGGTATCTATAGAAGCAATCACTTTAGGATCCAGTATTTCCATCTTCAGTTAGTCTTTCCAGGGAGAGATGGAATATACCCTCTTCATGTGAACACAGTATTTTTAGGCCTAACTGATTTAGAAATATCAGTCTGATGCTTCTATATACATGGACTATGTGGTATTTTTCATGCCACCAATCCTAAAAGAGATACCTCTTGTCCTGGCACAAACTTCTGCTTTTACATGACAGAGGCCGATAACATCTGTTTCAGTGAAGATGCTCCATAATATGCTCTGTAATAACAGTTGTAAAGTCAAAACTGATGTACCCTGTACCGGTAAGTGTGTGTAAGTAAAAACTTCCTTGTATTAATATCTTGCAAACCGGAATGGTATGGATTCGCCAACAAAAAATAAAATGTTGAGACTTTTATCATCCTATTCCATTAACTTCGTAATTTATGAAGCCAAAACAGAAGTTAGCCTAAAGCAACATAGAATCATATCATAGAATAGTTTGTGTTGGAAAGGACCTTAAATATCATCTAGTTCCAACCACCCTGTAAAGGGCAGGGACACCTTCCCCTAGACGAGGTTGCTGAAAGTGTCATCCAGCCTGGCCTTGAACACCTCCAGGGGTGGG